AAATTTATCGACGTCCCCCGTGCATTCTGAAGGGTAGTTCGCGACCGGATTTTATCTCGCCTTCTCGACGTCGTTTAACCCTTCCGCACCCGAAAGACCCGCCGGCGAATCCATTCAAAGTTTCTTATAAAACTCGAAAGGTCCCGTTACGACGCCATGTTGTCGCCATCTGTCACGTTAAGTAAATTTTCAGGGAAACGTCTCACCCTGACTTGCTCCCACGCCAATTTGCGTCCGTGAACTCTTGCTGAGGATTAAACACCCGCGTGCAGAGACTGACGACGGACGTTCATGTTTTTTTTTTTCTTTTTAAATAGACGACTTGAACGTAAATAAATACTGTAATTTAACCGATTGAGGTAGAAGTAGGTAGCAATAAAATGACGGTAGGTTTAGTGTTAATTCGTGCTTTGCATTTGCTTAGATACCTCTCTCTTCATAATTCTTCCATTAGGGATACCAGTAGTACACTAGTACATAACAGGGCCTCTACAGCTCGGGTGCCTCGAGATCGCTAAACCCGTACTGCAGTTACAATCGAACTACAGCCCCTGAGGGCATCATAATAGGAGCGCACCAATTTTTTTGCCGGTCTACCTGTTCCGAGTAGGCAGTTCATTCGCCGGGAAATTTTATCGATTGCAAAGGGCTAATATTGGTACAGTTAATCGCGCGCATGGGCGTCGAAATTGACGTGTGCGATATCGAATTTTGAAACTTTCCATAATCGAGGTTAAAAGGTTATTCCTGCTATAGTTAGTCGAACACGTGGAAATAAGCCGGGGCGATATATAGACACGCTATATTCGCTTCATTTTGACCCGTTTCTTCGTTTCATAGCAAGGATACTTTTAAAAAACGCAAAACACCAGTTTTCTTGGAAAGCTACTTTATTAGGATATTTTTTTTTTTTTTTTTTAATTTTTTCCATACTAATTTTAGTCCTAGTACGAGAGAAAAAAACATTCAAGTCTGAAAGTTAAATACGAGAAACGAAAGCGCGACGCGCGTAATCCTGTGCATCAGTCCAAGTAAGCGAAAACGCGTTGCTCGCGTACGTGGGCCACTATTCCGCAAGAGAGGCGTCTTAATGAATCACTCGGATCACGTGGAAAAAGAGAAACAGGAAGCCACCGTCTCGATATTGTAATTCGTATAATTAAGAGAAAATTACAGCCTGTTGAGGCGCAAACTACAATCGTACAAAACGAGAAACGAATCGACAGATGAACGGGCGTGTTCGTCTCGAGAACGGGGCAAAAACGTCCAAGGGGAAAATGAAGCGAAATGAAACGAAGCAATTAAGATAGGATCGTGCGACTGGACTCGAACCTCGGATCGGGTACGAACGTCCGGCGGCAATAGGGTGCGCATAATAAAAATACACGGCGGCCCGTGACAGTAAATATGAATTAACGTGGAACCACTCGGTTTTCCTGGATTCCGTCCAGAGTTAGAAATGAAAAACGGCGCGAAGGAGTATTTCGCTAGAATGCAAACAATGATTAACGACACCTGCGGAAGGCACGCTTCATGAATCTTGGGAATGTCGGCTCGGAAATGTTCGGAAGTCTAAAATATCTCCAACGCCCGAAATAGTCTCCATTTGGAACCTACAAAATATTAACGGAAGACTGCACGATTAATTATATTTATCCTACGATTTTTAAGTCCGATACATTAGCATGTGATCCGAAAGTTACACGGGCCCATAGGGGGTTAACATGGATGCTGGTGGTCAAGGTACGAGAAGAGATCAATTTTCTGTAGTTTACTTTGTATAAATGTTTTGATCCCTGATTAGGGTTCCCTTCGATGATTATTTAAACTTTAAACTTCGAAAGGTTGAAATGCAAGTTCCTCTCGTGCAGGTTAACGCTATAACTACCAGTCTATTTAGAGAGAGTCTACACATTGTAAGAGGACTTTCTACATTAGTATGTATTAATCTAACCTGACGTGCTGTTCTACGTCCGCGTACTGTTACCAGGTACATCTAAAGCCTTCCCTTATCAAAACTGTAAACCGTAAACAGCCAACCAGCAACACGGTTAATAGATTCCACGAGGTAAGCATACCGAGTATACCTGCAGAAAAGCGCCGTAAAAAAAAACAGATTGCAAACGACAAAAGAATGCATACGATCCTGCCTCTATACGTGCGTCTATTTTTAACTTTTGTTAACGCGAAAATTCATATGCACCGGCACACATAGAGAAGGTATTTGAGTTCAAGGACGAGGTAATACAGATAAAGATAATGATATTTGTTCAGCTGTTACCAAGGCGCGCGGTACAAAAAGCGTTTTACCGGAAAGTATGCATTCTGCGCGGATCTTCTTGCGCGGAAATTGCGAATCTGCACGTGCTCGCTCCGAAAAACGACAGCTGTCATATTTGTCGAAGAAATTAACGCGGGCACCGATGTGTAACCGGGCCACGAAGAAATGTTTAACTCGAAGCTGTTGGTGCTATTATTACGAAGTACGTTAGAATTTATGAAGCCATAGAAGCTTATTTTTATCTTAAAATAACCTAATTCTTTATTAATATTATTTCTTAGTTTACTTGTTCAAAGTATAAAACTATGAATGCATTCGTATCGCGACTTACCAATTCAGAATTCCCAAATGGCGGCTCCAGCCATTAATGGGTTATACTGTTCCAGTAGATAATTTCAATAAATATACAACTTCTTTGATTATCGCTAACAGTGTGCTGCAAGATGAGTATTTATTGACTATACAGAGCAACTTAATTTTAGCTACTTTAAGCTGCTTTAAATTAAAATTAAGCTGCTCCGCGTGCTGCAGGAAAATGCTCATTTCGTAACGTATTATCGGGGATAACCAAAGGAGCAACAAATTTATCACGGCGCGCACTCGTTTATTCATCTACGTTTCGTTTATTTTGTAATGATGCTTTCGGATTCGTGAATCTTTGAAACATACTCGAGGTAACTTCGTGTTTCGTCGAACCTATAAGCCGCTTGATAGCAAACACCGAGCTGCACCTTGCAAGCCTCCATTTCGACACGGCGATTAAAATGCACTCGAGCCGTTTAAACGCTGCGCGCATACAGTCAGTCTTCCAAAAAATTATGCAACGCATCATCGCAATTCGCTTGCATAATTGGAATCGCCGTGCTCCTTTCCGTAGTGCCATATACAGCCACCGATTATTTATAATACCCTCGATGGTACAGGGTACCCATGAAAACATGTAACCGCCAAACGATCACGATTTCAATTTCAAATTTGCTCATCCTTGACTGATGGCAAATGCCAAACCTGAGCTGGTTCGTCTTCTTTCGCATTCAGTTATTACCGTGCGCGGTGATGTAACCTGCAAGCCATCCGCGTTCACATGGAACGCACGGGATGTGCATTGTATTTTCTATCACCCGCGTGGAAAAGGCTTATCAATCATAATTTGCAATTAATTTGTTCGTCAGTCACGTTGTCACTGTTGTATAAACGCTTCCACTTGACGGTTTAATTATCGTAAGATAACATCATGCATGCCGGAGTGTCATTCTCGGTCGTAAACACAATCAAACACACACAAAAAAAAAAAAAAGAAGTCGGTTAAAAAACATTTTCGATCGACTCGCGTGTCGCAACGAACGAGTGCGTTCCCGCCCGTTTCGAGAACTTCGAAGCGCGTTCCGTTACTCCACAGCCGAAACAATAAGCTAATCACACGTCTTCACGAAAAAACGTGACGTGCGCTCGGCGGGAACTGAGTGACGAATTTCTAGCGTTACTTTCAACCGTGAAATCTTCGCGAACTCGAAAGAAGTTGTCCCAATTAGAGGGGTACGACTCGGGAAACTTTGTCGGCTGTTACCGTTCCGTTCGCCTACTCGACGTGAATATTAATGACCCGACGATGGTACTTCTATACATCCCAGGCCAACCCGATTCTTCCTGCCGCGTGAATTCTTCGTACTCTCGTATTTCACCCAGGTTCCCGCGTTTCCGTATCGATTGCGGTCGGCGCGATGAAAAATCACCGACGACGACGCGAATTCCCCAGTGCAGATCGATCTCGTTTTTACCTTTCAGGTGCGATACTCGGATTTATACGAAAGCGCGATGGTCGTGCTTCGCGCTCATTTTATATAAAAAAAAAAAAAAAAAAATATGATGATCCACGAGATACGCTATCCGAACTACGGTTCGAAATTGTTTGAGCTACATTCGAAAACTGCATCGATCTTCTCGTCTTAAGAGATTAATTCGAAAGTCGTCTCTTCGTGGCATCAATCTTTAATCGATAGTCGACGTGGACGAGGCTGTGGATGTGTCCATCTTCTATTCCAGTCAACTTGTATATTCAGTCTTACAAGGTACATCGGGTAGTTGACATTAAAGGTTGATCATAAGATACCGTTGCGAGACTGGTTACTTCTTTCACCGTTTCATACCATGAATCATTTACAATAATGCCAACTCGATGTCTTGATATATATTCAGTGTTTATTATCATAGATTGGGTCCAATTTCGTTCATGATATTAGTGTCCGAATATGAAAACGAGCAACTGTATTTGCTGGACACCATTTCCTACCATATTTCGTTCCAGCAAAAATGAGGAATCGTCTCCCAAACTATCGTCGCGAGTTGGAAAAAGTTCAGGACCACCGACGAAAGCGGAGAAATCAGCCAGTGTCCGATCCCCCGCGACGAAACGATTCGATCTCCACGCGCAGGAAGGTGCGAGATGTCCGAACTTGCTCGAACTTGGGGGAGACGCGCGATCCAATTTTCTCGGGGGCAGCTCGAGGGACGAAATTCGCGAAAAATCCTTCCGATGTCGAGTGTCGAGAATACCCCCGTCGACGTTTGACAAACGAAACGAAATGAATGCGCACAGCTGGCTAGGGAGGACCCTGAAAAATGCCAAGAGATCGAGAAAGTATGCGGGCACACGCAGGGGGAAGCGCGAGTCCGGATCGAAAGCTACGCTCGTACCTTGACGACGAGCGGAATGGAAGCAGCAGCTTCAGTCGCTCGCGAACCTCCACAGCGGTAACGTCTAGCCGCGTTTCGGTCTAACTTTCGCGCACGGCGTCGATCGATCGCGATCAACGGGTCTCCTGTTGATCAGGCCACGGTTTCGGTTCGACGCGACAGGTGAGAGGTGGTCGCCCCGATGCGAACACCGAAGTGCAAGCCGTGAACGAGGATGAGGACAATTCCGTTCGAAGCTTCGCGTCTGTGCATCGACGACTTCGGCGAGTAAATCGAGACAAAGTTGGGAACCATGCGGAGTTGCTTGATTCTGATCCTTTGCGCCACAGGTAAAGCGAAGCTTTCGGCGTGTAATTTTTTTTATTCCGAGTGAAACGGAGAAGGGGAACAAGGGTGGCGGTGCAATCTGGTAGACCGCGGGGTCGATGAATTGAAAAATGAGTTTTTCAGGTTTTTCTTTTTAGTGAATAATCCGGCTGGTTTTCGTGGAATTCGACTCGAAAACCTAAACTAGGCGTTGGATTCTGAAAACTAGCGAAAAATGAACTCGATCTTTTTCGGAGGTGGGTGTTATAATCTCGTCGTAACAGTGTACATACAACGTGTAATTCGTGGAAGTCCTTTGAAATGGAATCTTTTGAAAAGGGCCTCGAGGTTAAAGGAGACGATAAAGGGGAGCTAATTATCAAATTGCATAGAGAAAAGCGCTTACGAGAAAAGTTCCAGCCATCTCGAATATAGGGCAACTGAGAAGTGTGCTAAGTTGTACTTTTATTAATTCAGAGTACCGTGTTGAAAATTATTTCGACCACTTGCAATAGCACAAAACGTTCCTGATTATGCAATTAAAAAAATGTGCTCACACTGAGTAATTTATATCGTAAAAATGTACATTTGGACACAACATGATTTTTAATGAAAAAGATCGAAATGCCAATTACGGGAACGAACGTTTAAAAGTAAAAAAAAACTTCCTGTATCTAGATTAGATTTCGAACAAATAGACGCTTTCTCATTTGGCAAGCTGAATCATTCGCCGCATGAGTGATACTCTGGATGAATTTCGTGAGTACGTAAGAATAGAAGTTTCCGTCTGTTATGACAAGCCACTTTAAATTCGAACCGATGTAAATTTCCTCCAAGGAAGATCAACAATTTGTTTACAAATTCTCTCTGAATAATTTCTCGTGATTCTCTGTTTTATTTACTATCATTTCGCAAGAAAATAGGTTTACTTTGCATCGATAGGAATTACGTGATAAACAGAGCATCTGTGACGTAGTTAACGGCACGAAAATAAACGGTTTAGGGTTTGCCTCGCGCGACATGTAAGTTATTAAACGCAAAAGGATGCATTCGCAAGGTGTGCTTATCGGCGGTTACGCGCTACGTTAATTAGTACAGTAGAAATAATCGCGACTAACGACGGGTCTTGGGAGAAACCGGGCGACACGATAACGCAACTCGAGATTCCTATCTCCGAACATGAAGTATTCAAAGCATTATGAGATAATAAAGTAGAAGCGATGGTATAATCGGTATCGTGCTCGACCGTCGAGAACCCGATATCCGGAACGATTCACGCGGCAGTAATTTATTTGTGCATAGGAAAGTAAATAAATAACACACCAGATCATCTAAATAAATTCTGTGCATGTCATCGTAATCATTATCGACGTAAAATATTAAATTTTACCTATGCTCCGTGTACGATAAATTAATACGTACACGTTGTACATAAACTTAATGCGTTACGTGATACACGATGACCTGAATAAAAGAAAAAGTAACGGTAAATGTTGGTCGTTACGGCGACAAAAGAAAAACTAATTCAACGCTTCAGATAATTTTATTACGAAAAGAAATTTATGTAATGCTCGTAATGATTTAGTTTCTGGGAAGCGAATTATCTTCTTCGGAACGGCAGAAGAATAAACGTAAGGTCTCGTAATGAAATTTTGACCCGGCAATTTCAAGTCGAGGATCTATCTATTTGTGCACGCTATATTTATAGTGCTATATTTCTTTCCTGGTACCATATTAGAGTGCCTGAATCTGACATCGTAAAACAAACGGGGAATATATTGCTTAATCGATAGCCATGCGAGTCTCTCAGAAAGGAAACCAACACCTTCGTGATGTAAGGAGCAGAGAACAATTTATATTAAATATTACTTTCGATAACGAAAGAAAGTGTTGCAGTCCAGACAATTTTTGAGATTATGCTCTGACTATTAAAAAATTGTGTTGTTAGATATTGTTACGCACTTGTCTGTTAATATACTTTTTTTTTTTCAATTTTATTTAAAGCTGAGAAATTGGCAGTAAATGAAGTTGATCGGTTTGCATTCCAAGAGATTCGGGTACTCAGAAATTTCGTTGCATAACCTGACATAGGCCCAATAAAAAATAAGGCCACACATACTATTGAATACCTAGAAGCCCGAACTGAACAGATCGGCCATCTATTTCTGTTAGAGGGTACACGAATCTGCACGCAGAAGACCAGATACGATGGTATTGAAACGTATCACGAATGTGTCACAAAAATAGCGCAACACCGAGAAAATTTTCATCGTTAAAAACGTTGAGCACTAAATTATGGAATTTTCAGGATCCTCTCCTGGCAGGAGTTACATATGTTACAGCCACGTACCGAACTTACTTTGCAAAATGGAATTCCCTAATTAAGCTTTTATACCATGAACTCGAGTACTCTCAAGCTAACTGCACGCGATGCACTTGCAAAATAAATATTAAAACCGAAAACGCTCAGTACCAGCCATCGATGTCTGTTTAAAAGTAAAATTATTTGATAAATATCCATGACATTTATCAACAATAATTAAAATTTGTAATTTTTATGTACCACAAACGCCAAACGTTTAACATAATCAGCGACTAATCGATTCGATATACAGAATATAGAATATACAGAATATACAGTATATGTATATTCTGTATATTCTAACATAAACATTCACCCTAAATTCTCGTAATTAAACTTCATGAAAAGCTAAGCGTGGATTCACGATGATTTTTTAAATTATTCGATAGCGTTGCTGAAAATATAATAATTTTACAACTCGATTAATAGATTACATAGCCGAAACGAAAAGGCATAGTACAACAATATTCCGATAAGAAAGTGCTATGTCAACCTCGTGATTCATTGAAAAGCCTGTTAATCCTATTTATCTCACTCATTAATAATTCAAGATTCTCTATGATAGCCATTTATGTCGGTTCCATAAATATTCGTCAAAGTTATCTAAAACTTATACATTAAATAAAAGATAACCATTGTAACAAGAAAATTTTCTCGGGACCCTACACGATACAGTCAATGACGAATGCATAGATCACGCTACTCCCGATCGTTTCAGAAACACTCTAATGACATATTGGCAAGAGGCACGATGCAAACCAATCGCATACCGCGCTTAAATATTAGAATTATTATACAATCGTTAAGTTCAGCAGGCATAACCTTGTGCTATATGTGTCCTGGCGCTCTTTCGCGAATGAATGAAAGTAAAAATCGTGGGAAGATCTACGCCCGTATTATTCATGAACGCGTCACGCGCACGAATGCGCGCGAATTGCGCACGCCACTTGTAGCAACAAGATCGCAAATAGAAATAATTATCGCAATAATATGCGAGTGCTAATTACCGACATCGTCGAGACTGGCGTAACTCAATTATCAAAGTTCACGAATTGCGCGTTCCTTAAAACACCTAATGTCACCTAAATACCTAACCGTAATTTACATACGAGCTGGTTCGAAAATGCACTTTTCGTTTGCTCCGTAACGTAAATATTCGCTGAATAGTTACAATGGATCTAACACATTGACTTTGTAAAATTGTAAAGTTCTGATAAGTTACTTGCCGTTATCTTTGTACCTACACTCGACAGAAAACAACCTGAAGTTCGGTGATTACGAAATAGATAAACACTAGGATATCGAACACTTCGGAGCAGCTACTGTTTGTTTTACTATAAATTGAATTTTTTTTTTTTTTTTTTTTTAGAAATAATTTCGTAAACATTACCTCGAAATATAATATTTACATAGTGGACGACTGTTTGAAATAGAGAATTCGAAGCAATATTTGCAACGGTGCCCGGTATTTCCGATGTGACCTAGAATTATGTATCGCTTGATCGTTTATCTATACGAGCATTTGCACCTTGATCGTTGTCCTGCTATTTGCAACTACCGAAGCAGAAATAAAACCCGAGCTAAAACTTTGTTCAATTTTGCTTAGGAACGCCGAATTCTCCCCTTGCCTAACTAATCGTTCGTGAACGAACAAAAATAAACGCGATCTACAACGAAATAATACGACTGTAACTACACTGTAACAAGCATTTCACTAATAGGATTTTTTCTTAAGAGTAAAAATTTTATAGCCAGATTGTGCTAGAATTCCATGGAGTACGTTGGTATGGAAAATATATGCAAAACATATGTGCATTTGTTACATACAGCAATAAATTATACTTAACATTTAATTTTGCTTAAGTGTACATATTTGCTACATTTGCATATGCTACAAATGCATACAATTTGCAGGCTAATTACAATAAATAACGTCCCTTATCGCGTGGAAATGTACAACAAGCATGGAAACACGTTTTGGGAGTACTCGAGACGAATAAAACGTCAAACATTGGCGCGTAACGAAGACGAATATCAGAAATTTCCGAATAAATTGTGTGCGCAACGCGTGAAAGTTAAAGTCTGGAATGGAAAAGCTCGACATACGTGGTTCGATTACATCGGTCGCTTGTTTGTCATAACATGCTTGGAACGACGGGACCATTTGCGGATGGAATCCGCTGAAAGGCGGATTTACATTGAATATACGTAAGTAGAAATATCGATGATGCCCTGGTCCAGCGCGACTGCAAATGTACGCGAGCAAAAATAAAGCCAACGGTCGCGTACGCGCCGCGTGTCGTTTATGATTCGCGTAAAAGAAAACGCGCGAACGAGATGTGCGTCGAATATTACTCGACGCGTGTGTAAACATTTCCGGGGCAGTATTCGATGTTCACGCGTAATTCGTTTCGATTTAAAATACGATATAAAAAATAGCGAAATAAAAGAAACGTCCTCAGCTTCGTCGAGTATCGATCGATAAAATGTTTTTCCAAATCAGCAGATTTAAAACAAAAAACGCTACGTTCGGAGCTTTACCTTAGGTTCCCTTTTAGTTAATTAATATCGCTTCGCAGGGTATCGATAACACGAACGAAACAATAATACTCCAATATCGTAACGCGCATAAAGGACTTTACACGAAAGCACGTTCGTCATATGGAATAAAAACCGGGTCGTCGAGAATTTAAAGGTGTTACCACGCATTTCGGAATCGCGTGCATAAAGGCTTTCGCGATAACAGAAATGAAACGCTAAACCGCTGCGAGTTGCGGGCTTACTTTGAACGCAATACTAGAAAGAACATGCTCGAAGCTTTCAGTGAGACGAACAAACGACTTTAAGCGTAACAGTAATGGAACGGTTGCTTTCGTGTCGATTAAAAACGGCGACACAATTTTACTTTAAGTAAAAAGGCAAGGTACGCGTCGAAAATATTTTCGCGTTTTCTTTAATTGAAAGCAACAAAGTGACTGTAAGTCGCGATAAACGCGACATGCAGAAAAGAGTTTCACTTTCGCAGAAAAAGCCGCGGCACGTGACCTAAAAAAATATTTTACACGATTTAAACACGTAAAGATACGCCTTGGTTCGTTGACGTCAGTCGAAAGAATTTTACGTTTCGTTTCGAAAGCATATACGAGCTTCCTTACATCTTTCAAACCAAACGTTCTAAGGATAAAATGAAATGCTACACCCGACTGGAACATGGAATTGTCATCTCGTCGTGGTGGCAATTGCTGTACACACACGGTACGCCATTACAGCCGCGTAAGTTCCTTAGATATCATCCACGCTCCGTGAATCGGACAACATCAAACGCATTGAACTGGGTTAGGAACACTCCACGATACGCGGAAGTATAATTCGCGTTAGCACTTGAGAGAGATGCTGTAAAAGCCCACTTGAGCGTTATTATCGACCAACCGGTTCCAGTAAGAAAACGTCCTCTGTTTAATGCTGATACCAATTAGCGATAATCATCGCATCGACAATTGCAATTTTCCTAATACAATTTAGAAGGGTACTCCTCCGATCTAACATTTGAACAAGAAGCGAAAGAAGATATACTCAGAGAACTCGACCCTGAAGCCACGCTCTAAAATGTCATATCTTTAAAACGATTTATGAATCAAAAATGACGACATCCGTACGTCGTACGTATTTCTTTGAACAAGGAGAAAGCGTCATGCACCGCACGACTAAAGGATAAAGTCCTTTTCGATGCAATTAATTTTCTTTTACGATATTCTTTACGAGCCACGAGCTGTTTAGTTTGCTCGCCTGTAGTTATGTTGGGTGCGTCAATGGGGTGAACTAAAGTAGCGATCATATGTTTCTGTTTAGATAGATTGCCACGCAACTATTAATAAATACCAGAGACTATTAACCTTCTTAGTGGACGGTACCGCGTGCAAGAAAAATATACATTCTCGCACGACGATTAGACATTAGCGCTAGAACCGCGAAGAAATAAACTTGTCCGTGTTATCTCTAAACATCGATTTAACATATCTCAGAAACATAATCGACCCGAAATACATTTGCTCGCACTGTTAAAGAAAACATTGTGAAAATCACCTGAACTGTCACAACATACAGAGCCACGCGAATCTTGCAAAATAGACACCAAAACAAATTCTCTAAAGTTATCAAAGAAAATATGCAAATTTGATTTAGAACGATTTAGTCTACTATCAGGAGTCTGAACTTTATCATCTATTCTTTCGATACACGCCGTTCGTAAAACTAATGTCAACCGAATAATGCAATCATTTGCAAATCGTTCATCCGTGAAACACAGTTATATAATCTTTAAATGGAATTCAAGGACAAGAGATACAAATGAATCCACTCGGAACGAACACCGCGAAGATTTATCCAACCCGCGATCCGATATTTTATTCGAGAACCTCCGATTGTCTCCATAAAAGGAGAGCCGGGAGATGAAAGAAATTACTCCATGCAAAAGGAACGACCGTAACACTGAACCACTTCGCTCACCATATATTACAGCGTCGAGTGACGTAATGAATTTGCCGTTGCATATTGCTACCTGCAATTGTCGCACGTGCGACGCCGGTTATGCGGTTGAATTAAAACTGTATAAATTGAAAACGCGCGTACGACTAAAAATCTCGTTCTTTTCCGGTCGAATATGAAATAAACGTAACGCAATAAATTAAAATGTTTCAGAACGATAGCAGAAGTCGCAATGGCTGCAAGACTTTGCAAATTCTTCGCGCAATTAAGAAACGCGTAACACCTCTGACGCTACATACAATAGTTATGAAAAAGTCAATTACAATTTTATTAAAACGTCGAGTTCTATTCCACCGTTCCTCTGGCTGAAACGAAAAATAAAAAAAGATCGCAAGAAATTAATCAAAGGAAAATTAATTGAATAGGTTTCCTTCAATATTTTTGTTTCATTCATTTCTTACGGACACGCGTCGCTGCGCATAACGGTCGCTTTTTTTATATATCAATACACCAACTATTGCACAGAGTTTCGAGTTTGTTACGCGTTCCTCGCTGGCACGGCCATTTTGTAAAGCCACATTCCACGCGCGTTCGCGAACCAACGGAGAACAATTTCATTCGCGAGAGCAATCAATCCCTATTTGTTTTTAATGAACATCGTTCAATGTACCCGCAGAGGGTTGATTCATTTCAAGTTTATAAGCTCTTTAGTTTTAGAGACTGGTACATAAAACAGATGCTTGCAAGTTTTAATAGTCGCGCGTTTCGAATGATTTTCTAGGCGTATCGGCCGCCGCGGTACAACCTTACAACGTCAGTATCAGTTCACCAGTCGCGAACCAGCCAGGAAACGGCCGACAGAAAGAACCTATAAGACGTTTTGCTTGCCCTATCGGGTTCTTCCGATTGAAAAGATATTGCTATTATCTAAGCGGAGGCACGGCACCCTGGAGAGATGCCCATTTTCATTGCAAAGATAGAAATGCAACTCTGGCAGTTCTCGACAGAAATGGGAAGGATAGGACGCTGAGAAAATACTTGATGGGCGATCAATTCAGTGAGTAGAACTTCATTCGATACAAATAAACGAATTGCACGACCGTTGCTCCGGATCGCAACTAAACCGAAATTTTCATCTTATTATTGACACTAGGTTTACTGGTTTAATATCAGATTTCTATTACTCAAGCAATACTTTAACCCCTTGAGGCACACGATTATTCGAGTTGATGATTATATTTTGTACGAGAGTATCGTTCGCGGTTTTAGTCGACGAATACATTCGAGTGTCTGTTTCAGCGAAATTAGAGAGATGGATCGGTGGCATATACAACTGGCAGAAAATGGATTGGGAATGGGGCGTGACCGGCGAAAAAATGGATTTCCAAAATTTCGGCGAGCCCCAATCCGGCCAGTATGAATGGCATTGCATCACGATCGACCCCAACCTAAAATATAAATGGAGTCCACGAAGCTGCGTCGAACGAAAGCATTTCGTTTGCGAAGTGCCAGCTGGCCGTGTTGGTAAGATGTTGTCGAATTTCTCTACATCGACTTTTATACGCGAGGCAGATGTTACGACTTCGAAATTCGAGTACCGTTCTGCATGCGAAATGAGGAACCCCCTGAGAAAATACTCCGGCTATCGCGCGATTCCCCGATATATCTTTGCGACCCGGCGCGAACGAACGAAAAACGTTGAAATTGTTTAAAATTTAGCCAGGAGACGCAAGAAGAAGACCACGGACCCGTTCGCGCCGCAAAACCAAAGATTAAAGCCCCGTAAAAAGGGCAAAAAGTATACGAAGGATGCCCAAAAGCCGGGAAGACGAAATAAACAACGTTCGAAACCGAGAGAACCTTGGACGGAACGGAATACGAACAACGACTGGAACCATGGCATGAATATGGGAGCACGGCCACCATCCAAGTAAGATTTCCCACACTTTTATCTTTGCAAACAATTTTTCTACTTTTTTTTTTTATTAGTAACAAAGAAATGGCTTTCAATGGCTTTGTATCGATTTCCACAGCCTTATGCCATCTTCCAAAGATTACTGATAGACTGATCAACCCGTGAAAATTCCTGCGAGACTAAAATTTTGTTTTGGAATAAAAGTCTGTCAGTTTATTCCGAAACCATCGACGGAACATTTATCGTGTCGCTTTTACCTAGCTCCAAACGTGAAATTGATATACGATAAATGGCATCTGGATGTGCTTCTTGACCCAGATATCGAATTGTAAAAGCTCTGTATGTTCGCGGAATCGATCATTTTAAATACAATTATTCGATAACGTTTCGTACGAAAATACACGAGTTGCCTGGACCAAAAATCCCGTTTATAGTGTGGATCTGTTTCCACCCCTTCAACCCATTGTGCCGACTAAAAAGGTATACCGCGTACTCACAATGGAAGGTCTGTCTTTTTATCTTGTAGCCGTTTTTATTGCGTTATACTACTTCTATATAGAAGATATTGTTGAAATTCGCGGAATTCCGTCTACGCAATAGAGACATCTTTCACTCCTAAACCCAAAACCAACACGATCAAAACGTGCGATTGAAGTTAAACGAAACGAAAGCATGTAATTAACACTGAAATATTCTGTACAGCAACAGAGTAGCGGATTCGAGGAATCGAGTGCGACATCGCCCGAACAGAACTCAACTGCAGCGTTCCCAGCCAAGGGTGGATCAGATCCTGCCTCAAAGACAAGGATACGGCGCATTTTTAGGAGACGGGCCCAGCAACGGTCCCCAAAGTCTAACGGACGTTCTATCGCCGATCCCTGGCAAAATCAGTAACTTAGCGAGCGAAGAAGTTCTCCTGAAACCATGAAACGTTGCACCCGATGCAGCGGTACATGTTTAACTCTTTATTTGGTAGCTTCGAATTAACTTTCCGAAACCGACTTTTTCGCGCACGTTACGATTGCGTATAAGTTTTGTATATATTTTATATACTCTACTCGTTGTTTAAAATAACTTACAAACTCACGAATTGATTTCTTTGGTTTGTCGAATAAAGAGTTAATCATACAAGTGTTTCGACGCGCTGCTTCCAAACACAGTTCGGATACCGTTTAGATTACGTTGAAACCGAGCACAGACTGAAATAATTTATTCACTTAATATCGGCGAAATAGTCTCTCATGTTCCTCTGTCTGAATAGGCGTTAGATTCTCGACGATACTGTCTTAGTTAGCAACGTTACCTCGTATCGGTAGATTAAGAACTTTAACATTGATGTATCGTGTACGATGTGTGTTCAGATTTCATTGGAATTTCATTTCCCTTTGTTTTATTTAATCAACGTGCACGAAACGCGACGCAACTTGTATCATATTCTTTTCGAACACGGTTTTCGCTTATCGCTTTAAGTGTACGACATTCGAAGGCATTTATAAGACGGGAAAGGATTCGGAAGAAACGAAATTTAATTTAAACTAATGTTCGATTTCATTCGTTTGCTTTTCTTAAATGGAAAAGTATTCCGAAGAAATTAATTCTGTTCGAGCAGGCACCTTTTACTGTCTAATGCAAAAGAGTTCTTTGCAATCACGCTCGTTCCGCGTGATAAATAAATGTTTAAAGTAACAGTATAATCGTTGTAGTACGTAATATATCACGAATAGTCAAAATGCTTGAGCATCGTTAGTTCTGTCTCGATTACATTTAAATTTTCATGTTATTTTGAAAGATAATATCGTTGTGTAGGATATTTCATTATTAATAAATAATGTACTGACTGCATATCAATGTTACTTCGAAAGTAAGTACGTATTCGATATCCATAAGCATTATCTAGTATATGTTATCGATGTACCGACAAGTTTGAAGATTTTTATTTTTTATGGTTTAACTTAATGGTATTTTGTAGATAAGTATAAGATAATAAAACGTTTCGGGATTTAAGTTAACGAGATTATATTTTAATTGCAACCCAAATATTTCCAAGATATCGTGCGATGTGCTTAAATATCTATCTATATATACGCAAAAAATCGTACTCGAATTTATGTAAAAATTAATCTTGTATGCGTGATATTGTCTCGAAATAGCAGAGGCTCTATCTATTATTAAATTGTGTCGTATTAGTTAACACTTATTTGGAACGCTAACTATCGCAACTAGACTTATTGTTAGTAACGATTAACGAAATATTTTGGAACGTGTTGTTTTTGTAAATACGAAAATCATTGACACCTACTTTCTGTATTTAATGATAACAACCACTATATCAATAAAAGTAAATATCAAATCAATACTACGACTACTACTACTACTACTACTACTACTACTACTACTACTACTACTAATACTACTATAACAACAGATGAGTATTATGTATATGTATAGTAACTTACCTTTATATAAATGCAGAGCGCGTCACCCTTCGGTTGTCCATTCGAATCTCTGTACAGCTTGATCCTGTTCTTTCCTTTTTCGTCACGCGCTATAAGACCACATTTATTGAACAGCTCTGTAAGCTCCTCCAGAGTGATATCCAATGGAAGACCAGATACATAAATAGCAGTATTATGTGCTTCGTCCACTTCAAACCAAGTCGGTGGCTCTTGTGCTTTCCTTTTAGCTTCCAACTTCTTTTTCTCTTTGTCAAGCTTTGCTGTCGATTGAGTTTCCTCCATAGATTTTGCTTCTGTTGAATTTGGGTCTGTGAATCCGTAACTCATCTGATATCTTGCCATAAAATCATCATCAATCTGGAGCAAAACAACAGGATTTAAAATATATCGATTGAAATCATGAAACTTGTAGAAAAATTGCAACTCCAGAAAGGAAAGAAAATATATATATTAAAAACACAACTCACCTTTGGAAACCACGCATTTTTCTCCTTATCCCAAAAGTACATGCTACCATCATTGGGGTCTGTGTATGTGTGGGTATCATTCTCAAAACCAAATGTTCCTTCTTGTGGCTTAACCTCGTTTGTACTGGAATCTTGTGCCTTAACCTCTTCTGTATTCTGGTCATCCGCCTTCTTTTCTTCAGTTTCTTTGACTACCCACTCATTTTTCTCTTGATCAAACCTGTATATCACATTAATTGCAGGATCCTTGTATATATATGATTGGCCTTCAAATTCATATTGTTTCATAGGATCTTCAGTTCTCGCTGATTCTTCTGTATTCTGGTCATCTGCCTTCTTTTCTTCAGTTTCTTTGACTACCCACTCATTTTTCTCTCGATCAAACCTGTATAACACATTACTTGCAGGATCCTCGTATATATAAGATTGGCCTTCCAATTTATATTGTTTCACAGGATCTTCAGTTTTCTCTGATTCCTGACCATCAGCCATTTTGATTGCCAACCATGTACCACTTGAGAAATGTTCTAATATACCTTGCAGCACCTGTTGAACAAACAATTAGAAAGAATATTAGTAGAGTCAAAAATGAAAACTTGAACTTTTGCCAGTAGTAAATATTTTAGCAGTTATGAGCTTGTTAATATTATCAATGTATATAAGCAATAACCACTTGTTACTTAATAATGATGAATGATCAAAATCTTATCTAAAAATTTTAAGCTACAATGTTCCAGGTAATGACGTTTTCTATCCTATAAATGCTCCATTATGTTATACCTCATAAAACAACCTTATTGCTATATTGCAGGGATTATAATATAACGAATTAGATAGTCTATATTACTCACATTGTTCAAAGCAACAAATTGTAAGTTAAATATCAGATAAAATTACTAAAAAATGTTACTTTGAAGGTTACAAACGTTTCACTTGTAGGTAAAATACGTTTCGCATTCATATTACTAATAAATGTACCGTTTAAGATGTTGTTGGTGTTCCGTAGTGTTTCGAGTACAGTCAACAATTAATGACAGCGTCAAGAATTGAATTAGTATGACAAGAAACAAGAGCTTGGTTTCCAAACTTGACAGCAACACAACTATGCATTTCACACGTTGTAAGCACGCTTGCGACGCTATTGCGCTCTATCCACCTTTCTAAAATCTCCTATGACTCTTGCATCGATAAAATATGTTTAAGTAAATATACTTTGAAACCTACAATTACACTCTTGCTTCTAGCATCACTATGACAAGAAGAAGCGTTACTTTATGCAGTTTAATAAAAGTAAAATAATGTTCGCGTTACTAATTTAAATTTTCGCGCAATTTTCATTCAACCTGATAGCCATCTAGCGTTGGAGGGCCCGAACTAATTTTCGAAGTTTGAGCAGCGCCTCTATCGGGCAAACGCTCAAGTTTGTCCTCATTAGTTCCTTTTCTAAGTGATAGATGGCGTTGTTTTTACCGACTTGTTGGTAACTTATCGACATTATGGTAAGTTACCAACAAATCGATAAAAACAGCGACATCTAGCATTTAAAAAAGGAACTAACGATGACAAACTTGAGCGTTTACCCGATAGAGGCGCTGATCAAATTCCGAAAATTAATTCGGTCCTTTTAACGCTAGATGGCTATTTGGATGAAGATTATTTAAATATTTTTTATATTATTTATAACCCAGTAATATAATATAATACGTTCACGTGTGAATACAGAAATGTCTGAAGAATATTTCACATTTATTACTTTATACATTTTCGCCCTAGAAATGTAGTCTTTATACGTGAACAGTAACTCCTGTAACTTGCTTAAAATACTTTATTGAACATTGCACTTTGTAATTATTTTCTGTTTCACCCTTATTAATCTTGTTACGTGTTTTACATAATGTAAATTGAAAAAATGAAGGAAAAGTAACGGGAGAGAGAAGTAAATAGTACTCTTCTGAAACATACCAATATATTTAACAAAGTCTAACGTTAACTCGAGTCATTAGTAGCCGATAGGCTCTAAACTTATTTTAAAAAAGAAACATCTATTTTTCAACCCAAAATGATAATGTACCTCCTTAAGGGTGACAATGAAAATAAAATGTCTCTAGCGATTTCCTCAACTTCTGTCCCCTCCACTAAGTATGTATTATTTACAGTTGAATATCACGGATCCCACCCGACGCAACGACACGTTAAATATTATATGACAACCCGGAAATCGTCGCACGCGAAGAAACGCGCCAAACCGACGCGACGGCTGCATTGTTTTTAATTTTCACGCGACAACGCGCCCGCGACGAACGATCGCTCCCATTCTTATCGTAGGGACACAACGTTCGCCGTGGTTGCCATTGGAAATTGATTTCCAGTTGCCAAGCAACGTTCAGTTTAAGTTGCCACCGATGATAGCCATGCCTGACCGGCAGTCAGTCGGCTGCAAGTTTCGCGGCGCAAGGTGTAAGCATGGGCTTGTCGGACCTGGACACTATACCCGGTAAATCGTTCCGTTGAAACGCATGCATCTAGCACGAGTTCACGCACGCTTTTCGACTTTCTAGCACCTGTCTAACGGCAATTCTATTACTGCGGACAATTTTCTCAATAGCTACGTTTGCGATAAAGCGACAGCCGGCGTCGAAGCGACGCGTATACGCGATGCAGTTTGAAAAGTTTGCGTTAGTAAAGGACGCGAACGTGGGGACAAACAAGTTGTGGATGGGCAGAGTTTTTGTCGTATTCTAGAGAAGGAATCGGTGTAGCGTTGGTTGCATGGTATAGCGTTTGATTAAGGATATGGCTGTCGGAGTGGTATTTAATTTTTTCTACGTTTCTGTTGTTTAGATTGTCATTTTTATTCGACGAATCTATAATTTTCATCTAGCTGTGAATCATACCACTGACTAGATCACTCGACTACTTGCCACTCGAACACTTTGGAAATTACGCAGGTAGGAAGCTATACGATCGTGCGTATCAGCGCAATTTCGTGCGAGTGCAAAGCATTTGCCCTTTCGGTGTTAATATACGAAGATCTATCACGTGTCATGTATGGATATTCCGTGGTGATACGTCTTAAGCACACGAGACAAACGCCTACAAACAGTCAACGCACATAATGCACAATCCGACCTAAATGCATCTCAGAACTTAGGAGTATAATTAATTAGACGTCTAACGAACGATTGATTCATAACTGCTGCAACTCAGCGACGTTTACACCCTTTCTCGCTCTCTATTCAGTACACGAACTTCATTATATCGTACAAAACACAAACTATCTCGCGATTACTTTTGTGTACGATAAATAACTGAGTGCACAAAGATATTATAATTTTATACTGCGAATATAATTCCCTTCTGGAATTACATTCGATATTAATTTTCATTATTTTTTCGTATTACGCGTGTATTTTAATTTTAATTTCCCTTTCGATCGTATCCGTAATATACAAAGGCGTTACGAATAAGTTGTTCGCACCTCGTATAATTTCTGCGTTACTCGAAACTTCAAAATGAAGCAGATCGTGTACGCGTTGATATTGCATTACTGTATAAAGCAACACGAAACCGTTATGCGTAAACGTTATGCAAACGTTGGGAGAAATATCTGTAATTATATTCCTCTCTGGTACTTTTACGGAAATGTGGGCTGCGATGTGCATACGGAGGAAATTGTTGTTAGGCACGACAGGCTGGAAAAATGCACCTATTTGAAGTAAAATAGCTGATTCAGTTACATTCTAAGAAAAAGTGGTTGGATAAAATTACAAAAGGAAATAATGTGTTTACATTTACATATATATATATATATTTTTTGTTTTTAATCAAATACTATTGTAATGTTAATATTAAGGAACACTAGGTATAAAAGAAGGAGGAAGAAAGAGTACAAAAGTAATCTTTATATTTCTTTTAGTAATAAAAAGCACGTTCGCGAGTTTTCCCATGTCACTGTCTGTTCTTTTCGAATGTCTCCAGCAGAAGGTCGCATTTCATGCTTAAACGAGTCGAAGGGAGATCTGAAATACGGGAGATAGAATCTTAGAATAAATATCTCAAACAAAAGAAATCTGTATTAACGTTACGATAGGAGATTACTGTCTTCCATTAATAATGGACCTTGTTTTGAGATAGCACGCTTCTTGCAAATATGCTAATCTACTTCCGCGATGGTGAATTAAATATTGCAATTGATTCGATGCACGGGCGTATACATTTTAATCGGCTTTCGCGACTACTAAACCATAGTTTCTCGGGTTAACGACCTGACGCAGTTCCAGCAGGTAGAAAATGAGCGCA